GTAGACGGCGTAGTTTACCTCCTAAGATCACTGTAGCGTCCTTCGGGCCAAATTTACGGATACATAGAATAAGCTGCAGATACATAGTCTGCCTGACATAAAGACACTTGATTCCGATACAAACGATTCAGAAACACTTCCGAAGTGCCGCAAGTCCCTTAAAGTTATGGGAGAGCTATGCTTCTGGTATTAGTAGAAGTATATTGTAGCCTAACAGGAAGCGAGAACTTGCAAGAAAAGGTACTTCCGCTCCACTGTCTGCTGCCTGAAAGACTCTACACTACGCTTATATTTTGATAGCTCATGAATTTATTCCCTAAAGAGATACTCTTTGTCTGCAACACAGCCAAGTTGATTTGGTTAAAGTGGGACATGAGAAAATGGCAAAAGCATAACTCGTTAAATTTAGAGAGCCACGCAGAATAATTAACAGCACTCTGCCACGCCTTTTGTATCAAGTCGTTTGATGAAGCAGAACCTGAAACCGAAAGCCATTTATTGTGTGAACGACCTGGCTTTTGCGAAATTCGGCATCAACTTTTGATTACAGGCTTTCTAAACGATGTAAACGCACCAGAAAAAGTTGAAAATGCAGCAACTGTTAAGTTTGGGTGACTCCATGAAATCCACGAAGTGTTTGAAAAATGAGTGAGGCATTCGAGATCTTTTTGGTATCGCAACGGTCCCAGTTGTACAACTATGTGTATTGGGAGTAATACCAGAAGCCACTTGGATGTACTAAAGCATCGTTCACTCAAAATCGGCACGCATGAAATGGGTTATATCTTTTTAATAGGTTTTCAGAAAATAATATTTAATATGTAAGAATAAAGAGAAAATATTCCGTTATAGATACATGCTAGCGAGAGTTTCATATTTTGCTTGGATAAATAAATAAGAGACAATTTCTTTAATAATAAAAAAAATTTCTGAACACCCGTTCTAGAGACTTGTGTAGTCAACTTGCTCTACTAAACTATCTTTAGTTTATGTTTTTCCACGGCTCGCACATCTCTACTAATTTTGTTTTAAATAAATACCATGTATTTTTCGATTTGACTTAAATAGGTCATATTCGAAAATTGATAACTTGCCGAACTTAATTCACATCATTGGCTTCAAACCGATTTAAAGTTACCTGTGAATAATTAGTTTTCATAAAAACCCACCAACACTTTACAAACAAAGTAAATGATATAATGAAATAACACTTTGTGCAAGCGCTCCTTCCAGCATATTTCTGGGGTCATATGACCCATTGTGAAGTCTGATCGAGTTTTAATGAGACTGCCTCGATTCAACATTGGGGTAATGTAAACGGGTGCGGTTTTTGTTATAAAATAAAATTTATTTAATCTAACAGAATTTTATATATTATAACTCGATAAGGTTTAAGTCTTGCCATAGCTTGCATTCGCTGAACTGTGGATAACTGTTTTCCAATTCTCTCACACGATCTTCTTCTGATAAGCCGTTTTTTTTCCTAATTCAGGTAAAGAGCCTTATCCTTAAGCTGGTGCGAAATGATGTCTTTTAATGATTAGCTCACCCCGTTAGTTTAAGCAGAAGGAATCTGTTCATTGATTTTTGGAGGATAATTATAAGTGTTTGGTATATTTAATTTTAATTTGATTTTTGATGTCGAAAATGGCGTGTTTTTCAACGAATTTGTTCAACATTATTTTTTGAGCAGCAACTTCCAACGCGAATAAAACTGTCAAATAAAAAGCCGGTACTATGAAATTCAAACCTCATAATGGTAGATCTATTGTCTAACGATCGGCATTACAACTTTTTAATACATTCCAACAATTGCTGCACAGAAATTGCTGGAACGCGTACCGATTTTGAGTGAACGATACTTTAGGTGTTTACTTTTCGTGATTTTGTTCACTGTTTGGGATTTCTTCGGGACATATCCTGGATTTTTTCAGATCCTTCCGGGACTCTTCGTGTTTTGGTTTTCGTATATTAATAAAAAGTGGTATCTCTTAGGATTCATTGGTTTGGGATTTTTTAAATACTTTTATATGCGGGATTGTTCGAATTCTTTCAGAACTTTTCGAGATTTTTTTTGTAAAGTTTGGAGTTTTTGGGATTAGGTATTTAGTGAACATTTAGTAATTTTCGGTACTTTTTAACCGACTTCAAAAAAGGGAGGAGGAATATTTTTACTTTTTTTTTATTTATGTAACTGCATAGCTTTGGGCCCCGTTAACCGATTTCTCTAATGTTTTAAAGGGAAAGGTAACACCTCATAGGTGGTCCCATACTAATTTGGTTTAGTTCCGATCATTGGATTGAGGCAATTAACGATACTCTTAAATTTTTGTATGGGAATTGAAGTCAGTTATATTTTTTGCTTAAAAATTATTTGTTCGAGGTTTCTTTGGATCCCTAGTGCTTTATGTTTCGGTATATTTTGGAACTTTCATGTAATTTTACGGGATTTTCGGGACTTCTGCGAATTAATATTTTATTGAGTATTTACTGAGTACTACGTACTTTTTCGTATTTTCAAGGCTTTTCTGGATTCCTCTTGCTTTATGTTTAGGGATATTTTGGAATTTTTGGAGATTTTTCGGAATTTTCTGCACTTTCGGAGATTGATTTAGAAGCTTCTTTTCATAAGTTTCTCGCAAAATGAAAACATTTTATAAGTTCTTAGCTTCTACTATTTTAAAATTCTGCGACTATTCGTTTATCTCATTTGCTTCCTGCTACAAATTATCTTATCTTTTTTACGTGTGTGAGCACGCATACATATTTCTGCCTGCACAATTTCCCTTGGAAGCGCTTTTGCTCTGCTATTTGTAAATTACAACAATCAGTGGCTCATATCCGTGCACATTTATTTGTACAGTGTTGCCAGCCAACTTCCTGACTTGGCTAATTAAAAAACGTGCCGCAACAATGGCAAACATGATGCTTGCGACGACAAACGTACAAATAATCGTAAACAATTGAAGTAACAGGGCATATTTTCTCAGATAAAAAAATAAAGACAATTCTGGCGAAGTTGTAAAATTATATATTTATGCAGATATATATATTTCACAGCATGTTAATCAAAACAAATAGAAAGCAGAGTGTAGTCGAAGTTGTCTGCGTGCAAAACCGCCAACAGGAAGCGGAAGCACGTTGCGGAAATTTGGCTGGCGAGTATATAAAATATATGTACGTTCTTCATTTGCGTGCATATGGCACATCTATGTATGTGTGTGTGTGAGTATGCCTGTTTTGCTTTAAAATGTCAAACGTTTTTAATCGCACTCATTTTCGTACAAATATTTACTTAAGTAGGCATTTACATGCGCGCACATGTCGCTATACATTTGTATATGTAATATAGTTGTATATGTATGTATGTATGTATGCAGATAAAATGATACAAAAAGGATGTATGTATGCGAGTCCATATAATCTTAAGGAAGATAGATATTTTTGTGTATAAATTTTTAATTGCATCCGCAAATGCCAGTTACAGTTAAATAACCGACAGTGACAGCTTAAATTGCTGAGTTAATCTGACAGGCCACAGCAATGAGACATATGATAAGCTGGCTATTAAAGTGAAATAAGTAGAATATATGTATTTACAAGTGGAATGTGAAAGAAAAATTACATTTTAATTGTGTTGATGAAGAATTTAAAGGAAGCGTCTCTTGTTAAGTATGCCACTTAAGCAGATATTTGGGCCACATGGCGTATGAGTAATATTTAATAAGACAAAATTGGCAGTCGCTGCGGAATAATAACTAAGAGGGAAGGCACTATTTGGATGGGAGGAGTTTACAATGAGAGGCGAACTTGTATAGGGAGGAAAATACGTAGAGATAGAGGGAAAATAAAAATAGGAAATTGAAGTGGGATGTCAAAGTTAATTTAACTAGTAATAAGGATCTGAAATTTGAAAATAATAGAAGGACAAGAAAATACCATTAACTTTTTAAAAGCTTAAATATAAAAACTAGATATAAAAACAGAACAAGTAGCTTATCTATACTAAGTAAAAGTGACGGAAAGAAAATTGATGTAGGGTTTTTAAATTGCCTCTTTAAATAAAATACTCCAAAAAGGATAGACTATTTCCAACATCCTGATATTTGCTATTTAAATCAACCACGAACTGCACACACAACCACTCAAAGCACTATACCAGCTCGCATATGTACATACCAGCCTAAATCGCCAGCAGATAACTCACAATCACCCAGCATAACCGTAACTCAAATTGGCAAGCGATTTTGCTAGCGGCCAAATGTGCCGCAACTAACGAGGCGGATAGTGTTGCTGCTGTGAGCGGAGACACCCTGAGGCTGTCGCAGCATTCAAACAGCACGAAAAATCGCCGAGAAAAAATTAGCAAAAAAGCGATGAAGTATTCGACACAGCGCGCAACTATCGACGTGTAAAATTAGGAGAGGTGAGAGGCGCGGTGTGGCTTGAACCAAATTTAAATTGAAAACTTGCAATTCACTGCAATGCGTAGACAGGTGTGTTAGTGGTAGGCGTCTGGCCGGTATGCGCTGAGCCGACTGTGGGCTCGTAAGCACAACTTGTGGTCGCTTGCGGCGTTGGAGTTGCTAGCTAACGCCACTTCGCCATGGATTGCACGTCAGACGCGGCATTGAGATTGAGTGATGCCAAAGGCAATGGAAATATGAAATTGGCCTCAACTGGATGAGTGCGCATGATGCTGTTAAAAGTTGACGCAGCGGAAAGCGAAAATTGAAAAATACCTTTGAGATGGCATAGGAAAGGATTGTCTGTCTGGCTGTCTATCTCAGGTGGAGAGGTGCGATGTTGGTCCGCAGATTATAAGTACATAACAACATTGGCAACCGCTGCCGATAGAAAGCGGATTAAGCCGCTAGCTTCGGTGTGTATATGCTGCTTTACAAACTCAATTACTACAACCATATACATCCATGGTGTCCTGTGTGTGTGTGTGTGTGATTTGACTACCTGTCCTACTCAGTTCGCACTGATGCACTTACCTTTGCACCCATTTGTAGTTCGGCATTGGATTGCCTTCGGCGACACATTCAAATGCGGCTGGACTGAAAAGTGGCGCTGTAGTAAGCCGATCTGGACCGGCTGAGACAATTTTCGGTGGATCTGCAAGTTGATAGAAATGCAGAATGAAAAGTGGCAAAAATATGTGCTGGTGAGTGAGTGATTGATGCAATGGAAAATTTTAAAGGTAACACGCGGAGGCGTTGATGAAAAATCAGAAAACCTTGAATGTTTAAAAATATATCTGCTTAAGGAGTCAACTTACATTTAACGTCCAACTGCACGGAGAGTTGGTCTGAGGTGCCTACAGAATTTTGTGCTTGGCATGTGTAGAGACCGGCATCCCGACGGCCCACAGGACGTAGTTGCAGGGTTTCCTGGAAATGTGAGAAAAAAACAAACTTAAAATTAAAGGAGTTTAATGGAACAACTACTGAAAGAAGTATCGAAAGTGAATAAAGAATTCTTAAAAACTAGTCAAGAACAAATCGTGGGTATATATATTGTAACCATCAGTGCTATGGGTATGTCCCTAGCTTAGAGTGAAAAGTTGCTCATTCCACTTTTTATGAAAACTCATAGTTTGATGCAGGGACTTGAGAAATTAAAAATGGCCGATAAGGCCAAAATAGTGCGAAATCTTTTAATAAAGAACAAATCCCTCTGATTCCCATGGAGTTTTACTTTTCTTTAAACAGGCAAACTGTTGTATTCAAAACTTTGCGAAATACTTTAAAAAAATTACTATAAGAAGTTTTTTTTTCTCTTGTATAATTTTTAAAATGGGACTTGGCAACTTTTCACTCTAAGCTACCGATTTTTTTTTTATGTGTAAACATCTTAGTTCTCGGTATGCATAAAATTTGCATCAACCCAGCAGAAAATGTTTAACTGCTTCTTGTCTAACCTAGCAGAAAATCCGCAATTGCTTCTCGTGCGCAGAAATGAAAATTTCTGGAGCAGTTCAGGGCTATTTGAAGACCACTTCGGAAATAGGGACTAGGTGGGGTTCATTTCGGGACCTGTTCAGGGCCATCTAAGACATAGTTCACAACGATTTGAAGACCATTTTGGACCTAGTTCTAGACCATTTTTTGACTATTTTAGGAACATTTCGTGACTATTTTGGGACTAATAAGGAACCATTCTAAGACCATTTTAAGACTTTTTCGAGATCATATTGGGTCAAGTTCACGACTTTTTTCGACAGTTTCAGGGCCTGTTTAGGGTTATTTCAGGACCATTTTTCGGCACGGTTTCTGAAATAGTTCACTAATAGTTCAGGCCTATTCAACGACTAGTTCTTGCTCATTTCGGGGCTCATTCAGGACTATTTCAGGACCATTTCGGGAGCCTTTAGTATTTATGTCATTCATGTGGATGATTTGAATGGTGAAAACCGTTAAAACGGACTATGGAATATATGCATGAATATATATGAGGACTTAGATAATGATTGCCTCTATCTGAATAAAAAAGTATTATCGTTGTAGATAGACCATTGGAATTAAAAAAAAGTTCATCAACGATATTATCTATAATACACAAATGGGTCCCAGTGGGTATACCAACGGACCGAAGATGAATGACATGAGTACTGAGGCAGGCATACTTGAACCCAGATTCCAGTGAAGTCCGCCAATGGGCTCATATGCAATCATATTACGAAGGCTATTCGAAAATTTCTTCATTGAAGGACAACTGGGGACAAAATAAATATTATGTCGGCTAGTCGGGCAGCATTAAAGGCCTTAGATTCATTTAGAATTACATCAAGGCTTGCAGATATTTATAAAACTCGCCTTGAAACGCCTAGGAGCTCACAATAGAGTGACGCTGTTTTGGTTCAATGGACATGAAGAGCTGTTAACCTCGCAAAAAGTGGACCTCGTGACCTTGAGCCTTCCTGCGGCACAGCCAAGGGTAACGCGTAGGATTTAGGATGAGCAGCAGAGCGCTGCCCATTGGCCGAAGTGAAAGGGAATGAGACACTCAAAGAAATTGGTATTCCTTCCACACGAAGCTCTGAATGACTCCTTGAACTTAGTCGGGAGGATCTTAGAACTCTCTACAGGCTACCTGTTACTGCAAGTTATGGTACCATTTCAATAAATGGGCCTTTCTGTAGAGGCGGACTGTAGGTTTTGTGGGACATATCATGCATTGCAGAGTGATACACTTAGGAAACCATTACACAGGTTTACACAAAAAAAAAGTTTCTGCATATTGAACCAAAATTCATTAGCTCTATGTTATTCGACGCCCTGAATGCGAATCCGAGATCTGTTAGCCTCCATTACGTCAGGTTCGCGATCATTTGAAGGTCATATAGGAAAATATTCATTGAATAAGCTTGAAAATTCATATATATAGGGTTTTAGACCCGCTGAAACCGAACTCGAGGACCGTTAACCTCAGGTTAATGTCAGGTTCGAAGTCATTTGAGGGTCAAATAGGATAAAAAAATGTATTAAACAAAAATTAAAATTCATATCCATAGGTTGTTTTTGTCACTGAATCCGAATATGGATTTCCCTTGATTCTTCAAAGTCATCTAGAGGTCATGCCAAAATTTTCAGGTTCATTCAACGAATTTTTCCCCACTTGATCTTCAACCTGACGTGACCTGAAACAATTTTTGGAATGGGCTTATATTCTTAAATAGGCTGAAGTTGGAGTGTTTACAATGAGGGTTTAGCACAATAGTTTTTAGCGCAAGTATACCCGACGTAATAATAATAATAATATCCACGCCAAATTATAACAAAGTTGCACAAGATGAAGACCAATAGAATCAAGTAACAAATTTTGATTCAAATCAAACATCAAACGCAACCTCATTTTGAACCTTTCCTCCACGTATTTGAGTCCTCGATGGGGACCATTTAAGTGAATCATAAAATAAAATATCTCCAAAAACTTATGTTTTTGTCCACCTTCATCTGCTGAGCACACATTTTTTGTTTCTCTTTTAACCAATTTTCCTTAGCAATGTGCCACTAAAATCATAACAAAATTTCTCCCTTGTCAATTGGAACATAAGCTATCTGGTAGATTTTCCATGGTATGTATGTACCTACACTCCACCCCAACTAGCTTTTATTGCAAGCTATTTCATGCTTTTGTTTTATTTAAAGTTGTACTCACCTGCAAACTGGCAATTTCCGAACGTCCGGCGCGTCGCCAAACGATGCTTGCCGGTGGATTGGCATCGGCGACGCAACGCAGGATAAGCGCATCCTTATCCTCCTCCAAGTCGATTTCCGGTGAGCCAATTAGACGGATCGTTGGCGCATCTGGAGAAAAGATAGACAGACGAGGGGTATAGGTAAGAATACATTTTGATAGGAGTATACAGCAACAACAATAAAAAACTATATAATAACAAAAACAATGCCACAGCATAGCGGAAGCATTACAATTGTAGCAATAACGGTAAAAGTTGCCTTCGTTGCCGGTCAATGCCACCTGAGTGCTGCCATGTATTGACAACAATAATAAGGCCGTTAAGAAAACAATAAAAATTTCACAGTAAAAGGATTTGCACCAATCCATTTGCGAGGTGAATTGAATGAAAAACAAGCGAGGGGGGGGGGCGGGGGCGCAACAGCAAGCAAAACAACAAAAGAAATAAACCATAAATGGAATATTCAAAGAAAATACAAAACAACACAAAAAAACGAAAGCGAAAAGTGTAGACAAAATGCGGCGTAGACACGAAAATGTATGTATGTCCACAGACGGAAAATAAATGTTGACTATACCACATGGCGGCGAGGGTGAGCGAAAGCGCGGAAATGTGAAAATTCGCAGTTAATTTAATTGATTTTCGCTGTGGCCGCGGCGGTGGCTGTACTGTTAGCGGCATTCGTGTTGGCGGTATTGAAATCAAAACAAGGTAAACACAGAGCTTTCAAAAACGTACGAGTAGAAGGTACTACTGCAAGGTAGGTATGTACATGGAAACTGATGGAATTTGGCTTTTTGGCTGACTGCCAAATTGAAATATTGGCAGCCTAGCATAGTCAAATAGTCGACTGGCTGGCTAGCTGGCGAACAACCTGGCTCTTGGCAAACAAATCTATTAAAGTTGTTTGTGGAAAAAGGTGCAACATAAAAGTACAAATGTGTTAACGCTACGCACACACACACACACATGCATCATACAGCATTTTATATGTTTGCAAATGTATTTGTTATAATTATACTTGGGGGGTGTACGGTAAGCTTTTGCTGATTTGTGGTTTACTACGTGGCTTACTACGTGACTGATGTGGTTGGTAAGCGGTCAGCGTAGTCGAAAGTGAGTTGTGTAGGCTTGCATGCTTTAGTGTAACCATATTTAGAGCGCACAAAAATGTTAGGCGTAGCGAATAGAACAGTGAAACGAAAAATTAATTTAATTGAATTTCTACGAAAACAAAAGCGTCACACAAAATAAATAAAAGTCGGTCGTATTTAAGTTGTGGCATTTACGCGAATTATTGTAAATTGAATTGTATTGCATTGATTTGCGGTTAGGAAATGTAATTAATTTGACAAACCAATGACACAAATCAACTAAATAAAAGAGCAATAAAATAAATAAAAAATAAAACAAGGAAAAATTGCGGAAGAGGAAGTTAAATAATTGAAAATGAATCCTGTAAAATTAAATAAAGGTGCAACCAAAACGGTGATTTTCATTAAAGTTTATAGCAGAACATTAGAGCGTACCACCTTATAAGCAAACAAAAAAAGTTCGCGGCACATTCTTGAGTCTAAAGTAAATTTTGCAGGGTAATTTTGAGACATTTTTAACCGACTTCAAAAATGGGGGAGGTTATCAATTTGTCGATATATTTTTTTTTTTATTTTAAGAATGCTACCGCACAGCTTTGCACCACGACCACCGATTTCCATAATTCTTTTCTTAAAGCAAAGAGGTGGTGCCATACTAATTTGGTTTAGATCCGATTAGTTGATCATGAAAAAACTAACGGTACTCTGTAATTTTTATATGAAAATTGAAGTCGGTTTTGTTTTTTGTTTAAAAATGACTTGCTTTGTTTTTTGAGGCTGAACTTAGGTTTCGCCTTTTTAAAACTTTTCTGTGATACAACTATCGGATATAATTTTTTTTTTTAAATAGTTCTCCTGGAATAAGCGACATAATTCCTTACCAAAAGTTTAATGATTTTAGTCAGCTTTACAGCTTTTTTGACATAAGCACTTTTGCATGTTTTAAATGGAGATGTACGCATATCATTTTGCTCGTGCTGCTCCAAATGTCGCAATGGCCAAATGAGCAAAGAATTTTTTTTTTTAATTTAATTTTCCTTTAATTTTTAGATGTTATTTTTTTTCAGAAGAAAAAAAAAATATATTTTTCAATTTCATTGCATTTTTAGAAACTTATTAACCTACTTAAAAAAAAAAAACAATTTTTCGATAATACTTTTTTCTTATCGAAGAGGTGGTTCTTCAAAAGTTACCCAATCATTGCATAATTAAAAATCTAACGGTATTCCAAAATTTTCAATCGGTTGTTTTTTGCTAAAAAATACTTTTTTTATGATTTTTTTTAAGTTAAAGTTTTTTCTTTTTAATTTAATTTCTAGATGTTAATGTTAAAAAAGATTATTTTTTTTTAATTTAATTTCTGGAACATATGTAAATTTTCTTTTTTTTAGTTTGATATTTATTCCATTTTTTGCAATTTTTAGAAACTCATGTTTTTATTTTTTCGTTTTAATTGTTTTTAAATTTATTAAAATTAAATAAATTTTTTTTTTCAAATTTTTGTGATTTTATAGTTTTAAAGAGAACACTCTTTTTTTAATTTCATATAATACTTAGAAAGTTACTTTATTTATTTTTTCTTGTTTTTTTTTTTTAATTAAATTTTCTTTAAGATTTCAGTTTTTGTTGTTTTTAAATAGTATTTTTTTAAATTAAATTTTAAGAAAACTTATTGCTGAAATACAAGCTGAATACATATCTTTCAATTAGTCTTTTGAGAGGCAGAAAAGAGCTTTCGGGATAGTTGTCAGAATTGTCCAATTAATTTAATCTAAGTTTCGTACATAGTGGCCCGTAGTCATAGAGAAGTTGAAAAAAGGATTGAACGATTGAACCTTGAGCGATTGCAAACCATATTTGTTTTAATGTTATTTTATTTTTTCTATATTGTCGATTTGATTTTTTCTCTTCATATGGATAGCTCTGTTCTCTCTCTTATCTTAACAAAAATCTGTTTCTAAGATGTGATATATGATTATCTAAACTTAAAACTTTATTTCAACAGGAATGAGTTTAAACGTATGACTATGACTATGTGCCAGTGAGTTTAACAATGCGCATTTTCAGATTTCGTAAAATTGTAAAAGACAGTAGTTAGTACACATAACATTAAAATAAATTTTAACACCAAATAAAAAAAATAAAAATATATATATACCTGTGTGCTTCGTGTTTGTCATTAAATCCCTCTCAACGTTCACACAGTTTTCATACGATTATAGGAGTATTCACATTTGCTTAAAGTATTTATGTATGTATGTACTTACATTTAACATCCATACGCGCCTCCACCGGCACCGATTTTGCCGTATAGGACTCATGAAAGGCCAAGCAACGTAAAATATCACCATGACGTTCACGCATAGCTGTCACCTGCACTACAGATGTTGCCGACCAGGTGCGAGGATTATCCGCTTCAGTGTTGTTGATTTGCGGATGAATCGGTTGAATCTCTTGGTCACCTTAAATACAAAAAAGGTAGTAATTAAAAAAAAAAAACTATTAACGTTAATAAGTAACAGTAAAAAAAGAGAGGTGAGTGTGTTAAAAAATATATAAATCTGTATGTATCCGCACGTCTGTCATGAATAGTTGCGGTTAAATAAATAATTAATTAAAGTAAGCAGATAATTATGCGGGTGTTAAGGCGATAAGATAAAAAAAGGAGAAAAAGGTCCTATGAACACAAAAAAGGAAACAAAAAACAGAAATGTCATAAAAAACTGCTACGAAAGCATAATTGTGTGAGTAAATGTAAATGGTAAATATATGTATGTACGTATGTATGTAAGGATTAAACAATAGCGGCATGAACATTATTGCTATAGTGGGAAATGTTGACATAGTGAGCGTAGTATCTACATATGTACATATAGGACTGACAGCGGCTGGGTGATGGGCATTTGCTGAAGGATTATATTTACTTGGATGCGTATGTTACATATCGTACATATGCAGTGCAAAAAGTAAATGAAATGGCATATAGGGTCAACTTGCAGCTTAGTGGAAAATTAGTGAATTTGCGTGAGTTGATGGTGCCACAACTTAATAATGAAGATAACAAAAAACTACCGTTATCATTATAACCAAAAATGGGACTGCTTAGTGTATGATGGGAAATACTCGTAAACAGTGTTGGTAAAAATAATAGAAACACATAATCAATTCAAATAACGTTCTACGCTGAGGGAAATAACGCATCACAAAAATGAATATTTTTTATTTTGTTATCGTTTAAAAATTTTCATATTTAAAAATATTTAATGAGGCATACTCTTGTTTTCGTATCGAAAATTTGAAATTTTTGTATAGAAAATGATAGTAACATTTTATGATTTTCGATTCGTACGACAAAAAGAATGCGCCTCAATACTTTCATACCAAAATTTAGCGTTTTTGAGTATATATACGTGTAAGTGCCCTGCAGGAAACGGAGCTAGTTTATAGCTACTTATAACTACCGAGCAGTCTACTAGTTCTACCTTTTTAATTATTGCCCGGGTTAGGATTTTAAGGCATCTGCATATTCTCTCTGCCTAGTCGTATCTGTAAACAAATTTAATAATCACACGTTTCATGTCCTCCTTGATTAAAAATGTAAAATTTTTATTTTGCCTTTTTTACCAATGCCTTGTGTTTGCATTTTAAATTTCTACATAAAGACATGTATTGCACGTTGACTCACATTGTCTCCCAATTTTTTTTTTATTTTGTACCAACAGCCCGCATGTACAAATCTGTACAAAAGTATCAATCGTGTGACACTGAATTTAAATGTGGAATTTTTACGAAAGTTTTTGATTATTGCAAAAAGTTTTAAACCTGGATTTACACGGGTTGTGTTAAAGAATTAACTATTTTTTTTTTTTAAAATAACCAAATTTAAATAACAACAAAAATAATATGTTAAAACTTAGCAAAAAGTGGTGCGGCTATAATTTATTGACCGCTATATGTATTTTCTTATATACTTAATTAGACATACATATATTTACATTGTACTAAAGGTATGTATATAACAAAATTTAAAAATAACTGCCTTTTTTGTCTTTTTTGAAAGCGCATTTGGCCTTTTTTCAAGTTTTTAGTGCCTTAAGATCCCAACCCTGGTTATTACTTATCTCCTTCGGCCGTAACTAGCTACTTTTGAAGGGCGATGGCCGCAAAAAGGTGGGAACTGCTTTCCTAATTACTTTTGGACATAAAATATAAATGAAAATGATTTTTTAAATTCTTTTGCATTTTCGTTTATTTACTTTATTTAACATTACATATTTGTTTATTTTTTTAAGTGTTCTTTTGTAGGGCGTCCCCTACTTGAATTCCACCAGACATAACATTAAAATGGTAATATAAATATTCGACCCTGAATTCAAGAAAGCATGCGCGAAGTCTAGAAAAAAATTTATTCTATGTAAGTTTTGTATGAGGATATTTAAATAGAAGCTTGTTTAGAGAAAACAAACTGCCGGTAATGTCTGCATGACACCTGCCTGACTTTACAACTCACTTGAAGTTAGTTTTGTCGTAGCTCATTAAAATTTAGTTATTTATCGAAATCTCACAAAAAAAGCCAACTATAAGTTGGTTAGTTTTTATCAATTGATAATTTTTTATGCAGGTTATACCAAGCATACACAGCGGTGACTTCATATACAAATGCACTAATCACGTGCTGTGCGGTTCATTTAAACCAAACATTTGCATGTCCGGCTGTATCTGAGTTCGCAACGATCTCTGCAGTGAAAAGCTGAACTAGTATGCACAAATTTCAGGTACTGAACTATTTTTTAAGCATAGAAGTCATACTAGTTCTTTACGAACTAGAATTATACCAGTTCCGCGTAGAAAAAAGTAAACTAGTTGGTAGAAATTCTAGTTAGAAAACTGGTATTCAATGGGGAAGTCATACCAGTTTGTCGTGGACTATAATTATACCAGTTCTGCGCAGTGAAATGTCAAACCAGCCAGTAAAAATACCAGTTCATTACCTAATATATGCTAAAGCGATGGCCTGCCATTTCGAATAACTTAGGCTATCAGCGACATCTGTCTTTGAACTGCCAAAACCAAAACTAAAATGCAGTTAATTGCTTTCCTCACAAATGTTGGCTTCCACGTCGAGTGAAGGCTACCGATTCTGGTTCTGAGATCTAAGATTCGAGTCCGCTTGGGGGTGATTAAAAATAGTAAGTAAGTTATTTCAACAATTTAATTAAAAAGTAAAAATTGTAAATTTAATTTTATTTGGAAAAAAAGCCCTAAATAAAAAAAATTAGATCAACCAGTTTTTTTTCTTTTGAAAACAATAGAATTTAAAAATTACAAGAGACAAAATAGAAAAAATTATAATAATGAAAAAAAATAAATAAAATAAAATACAAAAAAAAATGCTTTGTCACAGATTCGAACTCGGATCTCTGGAATGGCGCGCCAGAGCTTTGGTTTGTCGGCCATTGCCACTGTTGCAGCGCCGCGAGAAAATGGCACACTTACGCTTTTCACGGGGGGTAAATTGGCAGTCTATCCCGTCAACTGGTATGATGTTACTAGGATTTCTACTGGTAGCGTGCTGATGCAAGAGCGGACAATTGACATCTCCTAAGGCATCGCCATGCTAAAAAAACCAATCGCCAACATTGAAAAAGAATAAAACGCGAACTAGTTGGACTGAAAAGTTCACAACTAGTAGTTTTTCCAGCAGGTATGCTGTCCACAATTTGTTAGTTTCCAGATGGTCATGGTTCAACATTGAAAACAACATGCAAATTAATTTTATTTATTTTTTTTTTGTGTGAAAAATGCCTTGTAAAAGTGACTTTTAGAAATATCTTCAAAGACAATAGTTTTTTCTGCATTTTTTTAATCGATTTTTTTTGTCTATCTTCTTGAACCAATTTTTTGAATAAAATTATTGCCTTATATACTCATATATTTCAATTCTTCAATGTTGTCTTCGGTTCACATATCGATTTTTCAAAACAAAATGCAAATTATCAAACAGAGGAACTAAGGTTTATATCGATTATTTTTTCCAACACTGCACTAAGAGCGATAAAATCTCGAATTTTCCGTAAATTGTTGGGCAACAGAATTTTGATCGAATTTCTTTCATTAATGTTCTTTACTTACCAAGATACCATTTGAGCGTCGCCGGCGGATTGCCATAGTGCGATACACATTTAACGGTCGCCAGTGCGCCTGACTCTATGGGTATATTATGACCGGGCGGCACATGTGCACCCTCATACTCCAGGCGTGGACGTTGTGGCACAACTGCGAAATAAGTGAGAAAAGTATATTTGTAATTAGAAAGTGGAAATAAATATCTATGTGAGGGATGTGCAAATTAATTGAGCTGCTGCACAAACACCAAAGCAAATGAAACACAAATTATTAGGCAGACATAGATACATACAAAAGGCTGAAGGGGCGTATAAGTAATGAATGCTTCGCTAGCACAGCCTCTGCTCGTAACTCTACTCTGTTCAGCTATACTAGTAGGTGATTGCTATTGCGTGGTCGCATTAATGTCATGTACCATTGCCGCAAGCAGGAAGAGGAAGTTTGTATGGCTTTGTTAGCAAGCTCAGGGAACCGACACACACATACAGAGAAATGCGGGTTTATGCACTTTAATTAAATTCAAGGTAACACATACACAGCTAGGTAAATGTTAAATCGCACTTTGACCAAAGTTCGTAATCGGATAGGGCTTAATTGTACGAGGTGTATATGTATGTATGTATGTATGTTGAGATGAAAGTCAGCAGCGGCAGGTACAGTTACGCTTAAATAGCTACATATGTACATACTCGTACACATCTGCAAGCACATGCATATGCATGTATGTAAATTAGACTGCATCACCAAAAATAGTTGCGGTTTTTCCATAGGGGATCACAAAATTTATTACATTTGAAGACGTCCCTCAAATTAATTCGCAAAAATATTAAGATTTACGTGAGCTGCACCGTATTGAAAATACTTCCAAAAATGGAGTTTTTTATGTATAAAAATATTTTCCTAAAGAATTTTTTTAAAAAAATCTCCGAAGTTGACAAAACAGACTAAGCTTAAAAAATCAGAAACATTTGAAATTTTAAAGAAATAATAAGAAATAACTCTGAATAACTGGGCCAAAACTTTTCCGATTTAAATAAACTTATAAGCTATCAGTGGAAAGGTATTTTTCCACTATTTTTCTTTACATATGTATGTAAAAGGATTCATTCGCGTCCCATTTTATTTTATTTTTTTAAATACCAACACATCTTTATTCAACTTGGAATTACGCTCGTTAATCCTACCTTTCTCGTTCAAATCGAATCTCTAAAAATCGAAATAGTTTTGGTCCATTTATTGAAGAATTTCTTACAACAGTCTTTGAAAAAAGTTGAAAAACAGCATAAAAATCTCATTACTACGATTTCGTTGAAATTTCTTTTTTTTAAATATTTTTATGCAAATTTTTCAAGCTTAAACCGTTTTGTCGTCTCTGGGGATTTTTTTGTTTAATTTCTTTAAGAAACTTTTTTTATTCCCAAAAAACTAAATTTTTGGAGGTTTTTTTGAAATGGGTCCTGCTCACGTAAATCTTAATATTTTTCCAAAATATTTCGGTGCAAGTCTTAAAATATAATAGATTTTATAATTTCAATGGAGACGAGGGACCGATTTTTTTTTTTTTGTATGGGGAGTGGTGCAGTCTAATGTACATCTATGCGTGTGCACCTCTCATTCATTAAGATGTGTGTAAATGCGTTTTATACAAGCACCTTGCTGCATCTTTAGCTGCAGCATAGCAACTGTTGAGTGCAGGTCAACTAGTTTGCTTTTTATTTTAGTTGCATTACCATCTGCTCCAGTACACCTGAGGCTAATGATACGCAAACTTAAGCAGAGAGTTCAGCAGTCTACTACTCACTAGCGCTACTCAGCAGCTATAACGGAAACGGAAGTATTTTGCACACAAACTCAAGCAAGCAAATTCTGAAGATACACACACATACTATATTAGTAGTATGCATGTATGTATGTATGTATGTATGACTTGAAAGCCACAGCAATTGTAGCCAACGTGTTGGAAAATTAGATAAGATTTAAAATTAATTAAGTTTTAAGAGGTCAGCCATAGCTTGAGCCAAAGCAACAGGATAGCAAATTAGTTAGATTGGCCTCAGCTGTAACCACTATCCATTTTGTTTGTTTGTTTTTTCTTTGCATTTCTTTTTTAAACATTTCGCCTTGGTATGTCTTCGGTTAGTTTGGTCGGTGTTAAAATGGGCGAAACACTGCGGGAACATAATTTAATTAGCTTGCTGCATAGACGTACGCTTTATGTACTTAAATGACAAGTTTAAGAAAGCATGTTTGAAAATTAAGGAGGCAGTGTACATATGAGGTCTTCAAGTAGTAGCGAAGGACAGCAGAGAGCTATTACTAAATATGTGCGCTTGCAATTAAAATCTATACAAAGCTTAAATGAGCTGCTCCACGGGCTATGTTGGAGACCTTGCCGGTTATGCATTTTACAAAAAAAAAAACATGGTATAACTTTTGACTTTTTTATTTTCCAGACATTGATAAAAATCAAAGTTTGAATGTTCTGCCTTTTTCGAGACAGACATCAGTATACTGCAATTGAATCGATCGATTGCTTCAGGAATCCTTCAAGTGAAAAAATTGCGGTTTAGAGAAAACTGAAAAACAGCAATTTTTGATGGGATTGGAGGCATTTTTATTCAAAATAATTACACAGTACAACAGGTTTTCAAAAAAGGTCCTTAACACGGAACAAAGGCTTAAAATTATGAACTCCTACTTAAATGGGTATTTTTGACCCGTTCTCAAAACAGTTCTTATGAAAGGCCGTTAAAAAAGACACTTGGTTGATAAAGAAGGTATCAAATGTTAATATAACTATAAATGATAAAGCATTTAGATTTAGTTTCTATAGAACATTAGCATATCGAGCCCTAACCGCCAAAAAGTCGTAAGCGAAATTTTTTTCAAAATTTTCTTTTTGATGCCGAAATGTTCCTAGAGCATCTAAATCCATTTCTGCATCAAAAATAAAAATTAGAAGCAAATGTCGTTTACGCTCTTTTTGGCGGTTAGGGCTCGATATTTTTAGTGAATTTTAGAATACTTTTTGCATTTAGGCGAGAAGCTTTGCAGAAGAGCAATTTTAAAATTTTTTTTCTTGTACAGAAGGTAAAGCGTCCACGTCGCCCTTGCTCTAGTAACGGTTCCAAGGTCTTGCAGACCAGCTTTCTTAGAATCACCAAAATTGTTTCTTAACATTTTGTAGTTTTACCTATGCTTTTTAGCCTTCCAATTAGCTGTTGGAGGTCAAATGCGCATTATAGAGTGAGGGACTTACAAAGCTAAAAAGGAAACTAGAAATACATTAACGCTTTTTTCGGTATTAATTCCTTCGGCCAAATGAAATACTCTTAAAAATACCTGACGGAATTTTCAGTGCTGGTCCTTCATAAATTGGCTGTCGGGTAACATGTGGATGATATACGAGTTACCTTTTTTTTTTATAATTAAATTTTACTTTAAATTATTCGCTGTTTTTGTGGTTATAAGCAAATAAAAGTCTCTTTGAATTAAACAGGAATGCTTATTTTCTTTTAGTTTACCTTTTCGTGAAGAACATACAAAAACTAAAAAAATAATACAAAAACTCTAAAAAACAATGAGAAGCTATTGAAAACAAAAATCATAAACTTTAAATTAAATTATGTACCAACTAAGGTTTGCACTTAAAGTTTTTCAGTAGAGGGCTTAGAGTTTTTCGATAGTCTGCTAATCTTCGTTCTATTGATATTTTAAGTGTCGATAAATTTTACTAGCGTAAACGAAGTGGAATGGTGAATGAAATTTTGCAGAAATTTCTTTACTTTTGCATCAAGGTTTAGAACTCTGATTTTTGGGCTTTTTATTGTAGAATGAACTATATTTTTATAAAAAAATTAGCGAAAAATAAAATGTTAAAAAATAGTTGCCGGTATTGTAAAAAATTCGCTGTACCTAAACTTTATTGACAGAGTGTATATGCACCATGCTAGACAGTATGCAACGGATCGAGAATACTCCTAATGTAAATTTCACAGCATCGAAGCAAAGAAATATACACAGTTTACTGCAGCAAGCCGATAAGCAACATCAATTGACGAGTTTATGCAGTAAACACTTTTAATTGCTGTAGATTCTACAACCTTGCAGAAATTAATTCTTGCGGGTTTGTGCACTAATTGGAGCGCTTACTTTCAAAGAAAAATATTCCATTATTTACTCATTTTTGTTTATTTTGGAACTTGACGGGATTTCTGAAATAATCGATTCACTTATTATTTACTTTAACGTACCCATCAGGATACTAATTGGTTCAAAATACCCAATTCCCAGCGGTAGACAAAATTGCTTCTAGAAAAAAATTATTTTAATACTTACATACTTGAGGGCTAAGTTTTTTTGGACCATTTTTTAAGTATTTGTTGTTACTGTTGTAGCGGCACTACTAAGCCCCGCTTTTTTCGGGTCTACGTTCAATTATTTTCGTCAAGCTCAACTTTCAATGGGTTCGGACCAGAGGGAGAGGGGTGTTAGCTGAGTCGGATTGAGCTGGCATGTAAAGAGGTGGTTGGTGTTGTGGGGGGATTCTCCACATGCCGGGCACTCATTGGGGATATTGGAGTCGAGTCTGGACAGGTAGCTGTTGAGGCGGCTACAGTATCCCGACCGTAATTGNTCAAGCTCAACTAACGGGAGGCCCAGGAAACGAGCTGTTTCAATGGGTTCGGACCAGAGGGAGAGGGGTGTTAGTTGAGTCGGATTGAGCTGGCATGTAAAGAGGTGGTTGGTGTTGTGGGGGGATTCTCCACATGCCGGGCACTCATTGGGGATATTGGAGTCGAGTCTGGACAGGTAGCTGTTGAGGCGGCTACAGTATCCCGACCGTAATTGAGCCAGGGTAACGCGGGTCTCTCTTGGCAATTGCAGCTCCGTCTCTTCTACAGGTGGTGATTCGGCTCCTATTACGGCATTCATAGGTCGAGAGTCGAGGTAGGTGGTGACGGACTCTCTATGGATGCGTTAATGGCTCGCCTGTTTAAGTATTTGTGTTACTTTGCAGTAAACTTTGTGTTATATTTTGGAGTGATGCGGAATTCTTAGGGATTTTCATAACTTCTTCGAGATTATCGGGCCTGTGTCGAGATTTCGGGTCTGTTTCGAAACTATGGTGGGTATTTGGGGGTACTACTGACTATTTTGGTGGTTTCGGGACAACTTCAGGATTCTCTGGAAGAAAACTTCGCGATTTTCGGTGCCACTGCGGCATTTTGGGGGCTACTTATGGATTTACGGACCATTTTAGGATTTTTCCGTTTATTTGGAGATTTTAAGGATTTTCGAGACTTCTGGGCGCTATTTTTGCAAACATTATCCAAAACATATAACAGTTATTCTCAGTTCAAAAAAGGTAAAAATAATAGGCAGAAAAAATCTGTTTCTTTTGCTCAAAATAATAAAAGCCAGAGTTTTAAAAGGCAGGCTATTATAATGGCTTCTTTAAAAAGTCTTGGGAATATATATTCAATAAACCTTTCTGAATTAAAAATTTGAAAATAACTTTTATTTATAGTCTCACTCACTCACTCTACTCACTGATCAACTGCGAATGCACTTACTTACAATGTATCAAGAACGAAGAGACATTTCAGTAATTTTTCTGCCTTAGGCAGTCTATCATTTCTGAATATTGGGCAATTTATAACGTAAAATCTTCTAGATTGCACTGTTTTTTTTTTATATTTGCCAATAGCTTATGAGTTTTATGTATGTAGCTATTTCTTCTCCATTTCTTGTATCTTACCTCTGACAACCAATCGCACTGGCTGACTGGTGAGTGCATCCTGTGTTGTGAAATCACTCGCCGTCACTTGGCATTCCCACAAGCCATCATCGAAGTCCAGCGTCGCTGAACGTATCCAGAGCGAACAATCACCACCAATTTGCATTGGCGGCGGGTGTAAGTCTAAATGCAGGCTACCGACGTTGTTGCTGGAAGGGCGGGCAGCCCATTCGTATTTTTTGGCATAGATGCCTACGGGCTGTAAAGAAAGAAAGGGAGAAACATTTTTAACAAAAACCAATTTGAAAACAAAAAATACTAAATGTTGCAGAAATGTATAGCAAAATAATTTGTTTAATTAATCGCCTTTGTATTGGACACAGAAGGTTAAGCGCAGTACAAAATGTTGAAACATCTTGAGTTTCACTACACTCTAAACAATTTTTGTTTAAATTTGCGAATATTAGGATGGGTAACCAGTTTCCCCTCTTAATGAATGCAATGTGTGGCGTAGAACAAATTTCAAATTTGTTTTTTGAGTTTTAACCATTGATTGTTCAAAATTTCACAGTTTACACATAAAATGTTTAAAATTTCCTCTAAAAAAAGGTTTGTTTAAATTTACGCATATAAAAAGGTAACCAGTTTCCTCTCCTAACGTGTGTAAAATTAAACATTGTCTGTTTACTTTTACATACCAAATTTGTCACGTAGAGAAAAATTACACACAAAGTGTTTAAAATTGAGTAAATATGAGGACTTAATATTTATTACTTTTAAAAAATATATTTTTACTTTCAAAATGTTTGTAGTTTTAAACATTTAATATGTAAATGTACATTTTAAACAACTAATGTTCAAAATTAAATTTTGAACATCTTGTGCGTATATTTGCACAGATACTGGTTGAAAAATAAACACTTTTCAGTAGTAGTTTTACATGCACTTTTTAGAGTGTATAATGCCACTGTACACTTCATACCAAAATAGTTTGGAAGACTCAATGTATCCTTTTTAAATTGCCACCTTGAGTGGCATCAATGACATTGCGTGTGAGATACCTTTACAGTGGAAACATTGCAACCACTGCAGCCAACTGCAAAACCGACATACATATATACATTTATCTGCAGCGGCTGTCACTTCCTTGTATTCGCAAGCAAATATGTATGTACGTATGTATGAGTATCATAAAGTTTCCTACAAACATACATACATACATACGTATTTCTTTGTACGTATGCAACGTGCCTTGTGTAGCAAGTGCATGCGACAGCAAGGATTTTCGAATTAGTTGCTTGTTTGCTAATTGGAAATTAAATTACAATTACTTGCTGCAGGCTAAAAGTTCAAATACGACGACATGAACAGAATACTTTTGCGGCACATTATCATTGCCTTTTCATGTTTCTGCTGCTGCTGCTGCTGCTGCTGTTATTGTTGCTACTATCTGCACTTTCTATCGGAAGATTTGTACGACTATGTTGTTGCAGCTGTCAACGTTTTTATTGGCCGGGCGTAATTTTATTAGCTGCTACAACAGTTGGTTAAATGCAATGGAGCAACGGTGGTGTTGCAGTTTGCATGTTAAATTGTTTGGCACAGTGAATGACACGTCAGAGTGAGCACGAATNTCGGAAGATTTGTACGACTATGTTGTTGCAGCTGTCAACGTTTTTATTGGCCGGGCGTAATTTTATTAGCTGCTACAACAGTTGGTTAAATGCAATGGAGCAACGGTGGTGTTGCAGGTTGCATGTTAAATTGTGTGGCACAGTGAATGACACGTCAGAGTGAGTACGAACGAAGGTGTATGTGTATTATTTTGTACATAAGTTATACGCAGCATAACTACCTTTAGGTGGCTAATTGAGTATGTGTATATGTACATACATACATCCGAAAATACCCAGTGCGAAATAGAAGAATAACATAACATTCTTTGAATTGCACTGTAGCCACAGTGCTGTATGAGCGGGCAAAAATCAAAAAAAATTGCTGTCACGTATGTCAACGTGTTTGGTATCGTTGGAAAGGAAATTTATCCTAGATTAAGGACCTGGACTTAGTTTTTGTTTTTATCTCATAAGGTTCTCACAAAAACCTCTTAAAGTTGTGTGTTTTTATATATTTCTTCTTTTATGAAAATGCCTTTAGCTGGAGTCTTAAAAAAAAAAA